CAAAAAAAAAAAAAAAAAAAAAAGAAAGAAAAAAGAAAAGAATATTTTAGCCAGGTATAATATTGCACAACTTTGATTCCAGCATTCTAGAGGCAGTGGCAGGTAGATCTCTGTGAGTGCTGGTCAGCCTGGTCTACAGAGAATTCCAGGCCAGTCAGCGTTCTTACACAGAAAAAACTTGTCTCGGAGAGAGAGAAAGAGAGAGAGAGAAGAGGGAGAAACAGACACAGACAGACAGACAATGTTTTGCAGTCCTTCTAACGACTATACATTTCACACTTTCAGTAGTGAAAACCAGAGTCTGTCAGTGTTAAAATTTAGGATTTAATTTTGTTTTAATGTTTGCTTTTCAATAAAACCCAAGTATATCTCAGTCTCTGAGCAGCCAGCCAAAGGTCTAGTTCTTTTATAAAAATCTAATTTAAAAATGGTAAAATAGTACTAGAAGATTATAAATAGTGTAAAAAGACACTACCTGTGCTCTTCCAAGAGGCCATCCTCATCATCTGTACTGTCCTGGTCACCAATTCTGATAGGAGATTTAATGCCACGGCCCTGTCTTATGTCTTCCTGTAGCTGCTTTTGTAGTTCATCTAGCCTGAAAATTGAAAAGAACGTCTTAATAAATAAGCCACATTCATTCATTCACTCATTCATTTATTCTTGATACAGGGTCTCTCTATGTAGTTTTGGAACTCTCTATATAGACCAGCCTGGCCTTAAATTCAGAGATCCATCTGCCTTCTGAGTACTGGTAGTTAAGGCACGCATACCAGGCTTATGATTTATTTAAAAACAGACAACTTTTGCTGTGATCTAAAAGCTGTAGCAAGGAAAAGTATTACCAAGAACTGTTACATAACAAATTATGTTATAATATAGGGTAAATCAGATCTCCAAAATATATTACACTATTTTTTAAAAGTTCTCTTTTATATATATGTGTGTTTTGCTTAAATGCATGTTTGTTTAGTACCCACAAATGCCAGTAGGGTGTGTTGGATCTCCTGGCACCAGAGTCACAAATGACTGTGAGCAATCATGTGGGTGCTGAGAATCAAACATGGGCCCTCTGGAAAAGCAACCAGTGCTCTTAATCACTGAGCCATCTTTCCAGCAGTTCAGATATTTTTTTACAACTAGAAATTTAAGAATGACCTATTCAAACAAGAAATAGAAAAAGGGAAAAAAAGGTAAATGATCAAATTTGATTATCTTCTCAAATCTTTAATACTCACTGACATCTTGTAGACCAACACCACGATAGAGTTAATTAGGTTTTTGTTTTCATTGTGGTCACATGATTACTATCATTGCCACATACAACACTTACTGAGCACTTACTATGGAACACCAAACCACAAACTCTTGGTGAAATGAAAAGAAAATAAGTGATCAATAAACACACTGTTCTCTCACTACCAATGGGTCAATCATCACACCAAGTATTTCCTGCCTTTGGTCTGAGGACACTCAATATTATCACCATCACCACTGTCTGTGTGGGAATTCAAGTCAGTCTTCTGATGTATCCTAGGTTGGCCTGACACTTGACATCTTCATGCCTCAATTTAAGTGTTGGTGTGTGTGTGTGTATGTTACCACATGTAGCAATGCTTAATTTTAAACAATTTCTCTAAATTCAGAGGGAAAACTTTTAACCTAAATGTCTGAAGATTTCCAATAGTTGTATGTTTAACAAGTTTGAGAATTGTAACTTCTATGTAATTCAGTTATCTAAATTTTCTTTTAAAGTTACTTAAAATTTGATTTTTTTTTATTTGCGTGGGTGTGACTGGTGGCTAGAAAAAGATGTCAATATAGCCTTGGAGCTAGAGCTGTAAACAGTTGTGAGTTGTCCAATGTGGGTGCTGGCAACTCAACTGTAGTTCTCTGCAAGAAGAGCAAGTATTCTTTATCAAAGAGCCATTTCTCCAGCTCCCTAAACAGCTTTTTAAAGAAACATTATTTATTTATTTACTTACTAACTAACTTATTAATGTATTGTGATCATGTGGTGGTTGGTAATATGTGTCACTGTGCATGCTTGAAGGCCAGAGATCAACCGATAGGAATCTGCTTCTCCTTCTACCATGAGGATTCTCAGGATTGAACTCATGTCATCAGGTTTTGGTGGCAAAGCAAGTGCTTTTACCCACTGAGCCATCTCATCTGCTCCAGCCAACCAACTTTAGATGAACTTTCTTCTGGGCTGGTGCATGAGCAGACATGTTGTTCTGCTTCATTAACAGTGAGTCTGCAACCACACACATCATTTTTCAACTAAAAGCTTAATTTAATGTGCATGTGTGATTATGTGTGTGTGTTTCCATGAAGGCCAGAAGAGGGTGCTGAAGCTCCTGGAGCTACAGTCATAGGTGATTGTGAGATACCAAACTTTGGTTTTGGGAAACAAACTCAGGCCCCTTTGAAGCACAGCAAATATTCTTAACCAGTGAGCCATATCTCTAGGCCCACTGTTTAAACTTTTTATTTATGTTTTACTTTTAAAATTATATTTAAGCCAGGCATAGTGGAGTATGCCTTTTGTCGGGAGCAGCCCTGCTTATACACTGAAGGCCTAAAATCAACCATAGGCCTAAAATCAGCAATAGGCCTGACATACATGCCTGCTAGCACCAAGTCTTGGGTCTCTGTGGAAAAACACTGAAACAGATAGCTGGAAGTTAGTGTAAACAGACAGCTTTGGTATAAGGCTGCCAAGCCTGGATACTCATAGGCCTTGTAGATAGGTGACCTTGGTGGATAGTACCAACTTAGATAAAGACAAGTGAATCATAGGTGGAGTCATAGTGGTCTGTCCCTTGAACCTTCACCCAGCTGACACTCTGTTCTGGAAGATATCTGTACTCCCCCTGAACACCTATGCTCCTACGTCATCCCCTTTCCCACATCCTGCCTTTTTGTGTATATAACCTATGTGTGCAAAAGTAAAAATTACGATCTGATCAGATTATAGACAGGTTGTCATTCCTTTCGTCTTTGCCTGCTCTCCCCCCCACCCCCCACTCTCTTTCAGGTGACCTCCCTGTTTAATGTACTGCTGGCCAGGACACCTTTAACCCCAGAACTCAGGAGGCAGAGGCAGGTAGATCTCTGTGAGCTTGAGGTCAGCCTGATCTACACAGTTGAGTTCTAGAACAGTCAGAGCTACATAGTGAGACCCTACCTCAAAAAGATAAAAGTAAACAGATAAAATTACATTGACTTTCATGTGTATATGGGTAGGTATGTAGGTCAGAGAATAACTCAAGAGTCAGTTCTTTCCTTTCCCCATATGAGTCTTAGGGATTGAACTCTGGATGTTAAGCTCAGCAAGTGCTTTCACCCACTGAACCATCATTCTGGCCATTCATTTATTGAGATAGACACTGAGTTTATGGCATCCTTTCTGACTCAGTTTCCCAAGTTCCAGCATTACAAGAATGGTCAATATATCCAGCTAGTCACATGAATGTCATTAGGAAAATCATGACCCTCAAATTTTGATGTGTATAAAGTGGACTGCTTTTTGTACTATTTCTTCTAAAGAGTAACATGACACAGAAAACATGTATGGTTTCAAAACTCATTCCTAATGTTGGGCATGGTGGCATACATCTGTAATCCAAAATTTTGGGAGACTGGGAGCAGAAGAATCCAATCTTTGAGGCCAACCATGGCAATATATTGAGATCATGCTTAAATAAGCAAATACAAGAAAACAGTACAAAATGTCTAAAATTGGTAAACATTTAAAAAAAAAAAGTTTGGGCCAGGCAGTGGTGGTGCACACCTTTAATCCCAGCACTTGGGAGGCAAAGGCAGGAAGATTTCTGAGTTCGAGGCCAGCCTGGTCTACAGAGTGAGTTCCAGGACAGCCAGGGCTACACAGAGAAACCCTGTCTCAAAAAACCAAATAAATAAATAAATAAAAGTTTGGATTTTAAAATGTTTATTTCCCTACGTGAAATCAATTTATTTATAACAAAGAATAAATAACTATGGTTTCTTATTTAAAGTAGTTTATTTCCATGTTCTATAAAAACAGAGTTTTTTGAGAGCTAAATATTGCTTATTTTTTAAAATTATGGACTGCTTCATGAATCTACTTGTCATCCTTGTACAGGAGTCAAGCTATTTTTCCCTGTATTGTTCCAATTTTGAAAATGTGCTGCTGAAGTGAGCACAAACATAAAAATGAAAGTCCTACTTTTGTGCTAACAATAAAAACTAATAAAAAACAGGCAAAGGCTCTCAATAGATATTACTCCAAAATTATCATGAGGCCTAAAACCACATGAAAATGTATTAAAAATGCCAATCAAAACCATGATGAGAAACTATACCATTCCATCTCCTTTAAGATGGCTATGGGAGTGGGGGGAGAGAAAGAGACAGAAAGAGAGAGAGAAGAGAGGGGGAGGGAGAAGGAAAGGGGGGGAATATGAATGAATAGCAAGTGCTGGAAAAAATATGGAGAAGGGAAATTCTCATGCACTGCAGATGGTAATGTAAAATGTTGCACTTGCTGCAGAAGACAGTGTGGCAGTTGTCCCAAACCCCAATAATTACCTCAAGTACATTAAGTCCTGGTGTGGGTCCAGACTCAAAATAACCGAAAGATACACAAATCATCATAGCATTTTTTTTTCCTACAACAGCTAAAAAGTGGGCACTGCCCAAGTAGCCATTAATAGATAAATGAACAAAATGTGACATGAATGCAAGATGGAACAGGCAACCTCAAGCAGGAAATTCTGACCCAATCTTCACTACAATAAAGATATTATGCTAATTACCATACTCTAGATATACTAAGGAAACCAATAAATGATCTCACATGAAATACCTAGAGTAGTCAATTTCATAGGAACAGGAAAAAAAATAAAAATGGTGGTCTGTCAAAGGCAAGGAGGCAGAGCAGAATAGGAATAGGCATGGAGTTCAGTTTGAGAAGATGAAGAACACTCTGGAGCAAGGTGGTGGTAATGTCAGTGTGCTAATCTAACCTGTACTATTGAGAATAAGATATAGGGCTATGGTGATGGCTCAGTGCATAAAGCCCTCACTGCACAAGAAAGAGGCCCTGAGTTTGAATTCTCAGAACCCACATAAAGCTGCATGCATATACCAGGTGTGTTGGTGCATGCCTTTAGTTCCAAAACCCAGTAGGCATGGGCAGGCAGAGTTCTGTAAGTTTGAGGCTAGCCAGAGCTATACAGCAAGATCCTATCTCAAAAAAGGACACTGGATGCATAGCACAAGTGTGTCTAATCCCAGTGCTCCCACAGGGAAATGAGAGGCAGAGAAAAGAGACTCCTTGATGAAGCTCTTGGGTCAGCTAAGGCTAGTATACACAGCAGTGAGAAGCCTGCCTCAAACACAGCAGAAGGTGAGGACAGACACCAAGGCTGTCCTCAGATCTTCACACGCATGCTACAGCAAACATGCACTAGCACTCTCATGCACACACTGTACGTGCACACATATAATGAAAATAAATTCTACTCATGCTTTTCATCAGTTAAGATACTGTTATAACAAGCAAAAGGATCTATATTAATAATGTAACATACAGCATACTGTAAAAACCTGTATCTTTTGATGTCTCTTGAACAAGAGAACACACCTTATTTCTAAAACAGTTGACAACAGAATTAGAATAATGGTACTCCTAAAAAATACATGTTAATTTCTAGTTCTCTTGGGATTTTTGGTGGACTGGGGACTGAAGTCACGGTTTTGTACTTGCTTGGCAATCACTTTACCACTGAGCTAAATCCCCATCCCATATATACTAATATACCATTCTAAGGTGAATTAAAGCCAACCACATAGCAAAGCAGTTTGTTACATGTTAACATTATGACTTAACCAACCTCTGTGTGTCTTCCATCTCCTTTACCAGTCGCTCTAAGGTATTTGTGTAAGTTCCACTCTGAGCATGTTCCTAAAACAAAAAGAGAGTTTAAAAAATACTTTGTAACTTACCTTAGTAGAAGAACTGGGATATTTTAAAGTTGTTCAGAGTCCTAATGACTATTTTCTATGTCAGTAACCTGGGTCTGGATGACACCCTTCTTAAAGGAAAAGTTTCATCATCATGCTTTAAATCTAGTATTCTATACTGCAGGCAATTTGATCTCAATATCCATTAGGAGGAGAGACACTTCCTGTAAAACCCTGCTAGCCTCAGGGTCTGAATGCAAACACCCAAGGGTTCTGTGGTGACCCTATCTTTGCTTCTGCATTCTATTTTAGTGAAGTCAAACTACTACTAATTTTTAGGTTTTACCATGGAATATTACACCTTCCCCACCAAACTTTACAGAAATTTTAAAATTAATACAGTTTACTCCCAAGATAGAATGAAGCACTTTATAAATAAAATTGCACACCACAATTAACAACATTTCTACACTCTACCTTCATTTACAGCAGTGGTCTCCAAAGCAGGGGGTGTGCAAGGTGATCCATTGGGGTGCAGGAAGAAAATAATAGAACTTCTATTTATATGGAACGTCTATAAAAACTCCAGTAGAACTTAATCTATAGTAACTTCTATGTAACTGCCACAGGAAATACTCAATTTTTCTTTTTCCTTCTAAATCTGTTTTCTGTATATACTTTATTTCAAAAGTACACAGTATTATAGTGGTACATGTATAGAATATATAAGTTACATATATATATATATATATATATACTGGGGTACATGCTTTAAGTTTCCTTTTAATAAAAAAGAACATGTGATCAAAAAAGTTTGGAGACCACTGATTAACAATAGTAAAATTGAAGATATGGGGAACTCATTTACCAAACAAGAATTCACACTCATGTCAATCTAACGGTGAGCTGTAGTAAACACTGAATTTTAAAGTGAGTTAACAATCTATCTTCTTTAATTAATCCATCTTTCCCCTGTCAAGTGAAGACAAGTTATCACAGAACTTCTTACCATGTAGTCTGACGACTGGGATCTAAGCCCCTTGGAAAATGCAGGAGGCTTTCCTGAAGTCGTAGGAGTCTGACTGAAGTTCAGAGCCATTATTTCTTCCAGTGATTTTAGTGTTTCCTCTTCCTCATCACTCTCTAAGTTGTAACCTAAACTTTCTTCATCACTATCAAAATCACCCCTGAATTTCCTTTTCAGTGCACTGCTACCTGCATTGGAATTGCCTGAACTCTCTTTATCTGAAGGTGCTGTAGAGCTTGGGACACACGGCACAACTTCCAAGGCAGCTGGGGGAGACGCTGCTGGAGGGTCGCACTCTGAATGCAAAGATCCCCCAGAATTTTTCCCTGAAGATTCATTAGAAACAGCCTTAACAGTCTTTGCTTTGTGTTCCTTGTGTTTGGAGGATTCTGTAGAATGCCCAGAACGTTCTTTTGAGGAGGAACACTCTTTATCTTTTTTAGGAACTGGAAGAGTGCAATTTTTAGCATTTAGCGGTACTCGAGAGGAAACAGCACTTGGAACATGGGAAAGTAAAGGTAGCTTTGTCTCTTTTGATGTCACAGAGCAAGCTGGTTTACTTTTCTGAAGATTGCTAGCTCTTTTAATTGTAGATTTTTCCTGAGGTAAAGGTAAGTGGGGTTTCTGTATTTTAGTCTCTTTGGTACTTGCTGCGTGGACTTGGTCACTATTCCTGGAAGAATGGTGGCCAGAATTTGATGGTGCCAAGTCTGCAGAAGAGCGATCTGTTTCGTCATCAGGTTCCTTGGCTATATCTTCCAAGCGCAGAACACCCCCAGGAGTCTTCAGTGCAATGTGTCTTATAAACTTGTCTCTCTGATGGCATGTGTCTGGGCGCTTCTCTAGAAAGGGCTCTTTTGCTTTTGGTATGATAGGTTCTTTTGTGCTTTTCAGGTCTGAGTCCACAGAGTTCCTTTTTCTTTTGTCGGAGAATTTATTCTGTTTAGAGCCTAAAATTAATTTTTGTCACATCAGTGAGAAGTATACTCTTCTGTCTGGGTCAAGCTTATTCACAGAACACTCTGAAGAAATGTTTAAATTCTAAGGTTAGGTTGAGATAATTTACTATTTATGTAATGAAGAAAAAGAACTAATGCTGTCATATTTTACACCAACTGACAGTGATGTCCAACAAATTTAAAGCTAATGATACATGCTCATTTTTATTGCTGGTCTATTAGATTGCTATTTTAGCAAAAGTATCACTCCCTAAAATATTAGCTACTGATTCTACACATTGGACTACCTGGATCTAGAAATAAAATACATTTACATCCATAAGTGTAGAGGTTTTAGATGATAAGCAAATATAGAAATAAAAAAGCAGATACATAACTTACTTAAAAATAAATTCACTGGGCTGGGTGGTGGTAACATGTTTTCAATCCTAGCACTAGGCAGAGAGGCAAGGGAATCTTTTTTAATTCAAAGACTGCCTGGTCAACATAGAGAGTTCCAAGACAGCCAAAGCTACATAGAGATCCTATCTCTAAATAAATAAAAATAAATTCTACCTTGCATGGTGATACATACCTATAATCCCAGCAGTTAAGGAGTCTGAGGCAAGGAGGATCATGAATACAAGGCCAGCCTGGGCTGGAAGAGGGTAGGAAGGTTGGACAATAGTCTCAAAACAACAACAAAAACAACCTCAGCCAACCAACCAAAGCCAAAAAAAAAAAAAAATCAATAAATCAATAAGTAAATAGACTTACCCAAGTATTTCCATCTAGTGATTACCACTAATTCTTATATGTCCCTCTAGTTTTCAACTGTGATGGGTTTAACTGTGTCTTCACAAACAAGTACTGACCTTTGGCAGTACAGGATGAGATACCATGTGACTTAGTGGTAGAGTTAGTTACAAGTCAAGGAATGCTGAGGACTACAAGCAAACACCTGAATCTATAAGATGTCAAGAAGCATTTTTCCCCTAAAGTTATCAGAGGAGGGCCTTACCAACACACTGATTTTAGACTTCGGCTTCCTAGAACTATGAGGTAGTAATTTCTGTTGTTTTAAGCTATCCTAGCTGGGGTACTTTGTTACAGATGCCTGTATTCATTAACAACTGCAACCAGAAACACTTTAATAACTATGTATTTTCTGGGCAGTTGTGGTGGAAGCCTTTAATACTAGCACTTGGGAGGCAGAGGCAGGCAGATCTTTTTAGTTCAAGGCCAGCCTGGTCCATAGAACGAATTCCGGGACAGACAAGGCTACACAGAGAAAAGCTGTCTTGACATCTCATGACCCCCCAAACAAACACAAGTTATCTATTTATTGAGTTCTGGTTTATGTGAGTATTTGAGTGGAGGCTGGAAGTTGCTGTTGGGTGTCATTCTTGATCATCCTCCACTTTATTTACTTAGGCAGGGTCTCTAGATGAACATGATCTTATCAATTCACCTAGGCTAGTTTGCCTACGTACCCTGGGGATCTTGTCTCTTCCTCTAGAGCACTTGGGTTACAGGTGAGAGACAACACTTGCCCAGCACATATATGTGTGCCGGGATCTGAACTCTAGTCATTATGCTTACACAGAAAGTACATTATCCACTGAGCCATCTCCTCAGCTTAAGTTAATCAGTCTTTAAAATTTATATTCTACTTAAAAAAATTTTCACTGAGCCTGTTGTGGTGGGAAATGACTGTAGTCCCAGCACTTGTGAGGCAGAGGCAGGCCAATCTCTAAGTTCAAGGCCAGCTTGATCTACACAGTGAGTTCTAGGACAGCTAGACAAGAGATTCTGTTTTGAAAAAAATTCATTAACCCATACTTAAATCATTCATTTAAAATTCATGAAGACTGGAGGCAATATAGTAGTAGATACTTGGCTAGCCCATGTTTAAGGCTCAGGAAGACAAAGAAAACCAATAATGAATACAATCTGTATTCTCAAAATCAAATTTGCCTATATCTTTTCTTGTGTGTTTGTGAGTGTGTGTGTGTACAGATTTCTTACCATTTTAGAGTTTGCTTGTTTTGGGATGGGGAAGATAGGTGAGACAGGGTCTCATGTACTCCAGGCTGGTTGGGAACTCAGCTACTCATTATGTAGCTGAGGATGACCTTGAACTCCTAATCTTCTTGCCTCAACCTAATAAGTACCCAGCATGGTGGCAGGAGGCATAGTGAGACATATCTCTATGAGTCTGAGGCCAGTCTGGTCTACATAGATTAACTACTAGGGCAGCCATGGCTATATAGTGAAACCCTGTCTCAAAACATAAAACAAAACAAAAGGCCCTTAAAATAAATAATCTTAGGGGTTACCTTTATGAACACATAATCTGGAAAATGAAATTTTAAAAATGAAGCTAGCCAAATGTGGTGCTCCCCTCTTCCCCTGCCCAAGTCTGAGACTCCTTTTTCTAAACTTTCTAGGAAGTAGAGGAATGACAGAATGTTCAGTTCTTTTGTACTTTTTCGACAGTGTATCAGCTGGATATTTGTTTCACAGTACTTTGATTATAGGTGAGCACTGTCATGTTGGGCTTTTACACACAGATACTAGAGATCTGAACTGTGGTCCTTGTGCAACAAGTGCTTTATCAATTAAGCCATTTCTCTAGCCCCTCATTTTTGTTTCTGAGACAAGCTCTTGCTCTGCAGCCTAAATTACAGGCATATACTACCATGTATAGAGACAAATTAAATTATCACATAAATGATACAAGGAACACACTATGTTTTCAATAAGCGTTAGCTATTGCTATGTTCACTACATCTTCCCAAATGTAGGAATAATCTGTGAAGTTCATTTCTTAAAGTTTGAGGTTATGGCAGAAAAATATGATACACTAGATGAATAAGATTATTTCTAGAAGCCTTTCATTTCCTCAGGAATAAAATTCTACAGTGTTAATTTTTTAAATATTTTAATTCTGGACCCCTACTTTAAATCTTTTTATAGATGGTTGTCACCTCAAGTTGTTTCAGATCTTTCTGTGGTCCGGAGAGATTTAACATATGAATGGTGCTCCCAGACTCCTTAACAACAATAAACTAGGCTCTCAGGCTCTTGTGGTGTTCAGAATTTAATGTTCTATTTTTCGATTAAGAAAATATACCTTAAAGAACTGAGTTAGCTGATTGTGGTTGTGCATGTCTTTAATCCCAGCACTGGGGAGACAAGCAGAGGGAGATGTATTTTGTTGACTTTGAGGCCATCTTGGGCTACAAAGGGTTCCAGGACAGCCAGGGCTATAAAGAGAGACCCTGTCTCAAAAAACAAAAAAGCAAACAAACAAGAACAAAAACCAAAAACCAAAAACCAAACCAAACCAAAAACAAAAAGAATTCCTGAGCTAACAGCTATTTGTGATTAAAATATCAAATAAATCTTGTAGATGTCCTTGAGATGTAACATTAGAAAAGCATTTTTGTTTTTGGAATATTTGGATCTTGTTTTAACTAAATACAAAGCATCTTAAACAGTACATCAAGAATACAAGACTATGCTGTTGCTCGTCTGTTCTAGGACGGCATCCCACTGTAGCCCAAGCAAGCCTCAAACTTGCAATCCTCTTCCCTCAGCCTACCGAGTGTTAGGATGGCAGATTTGTGCCATCTGCCTAATATCAACATTACATTTCTTGATGTAGACAAAGATTCAGAAGTGAAACATTCAAAACCAGTATAAAGAATACACTGTTAAAATACACTATTAGGAACTCCTGAAGAAGGCAGAGAGAAGTCAAGAAAACAGATTATGCAGAATAAATTCAAGCCATTTAGTTTTTTAGGTCAGGTATATTCTATGCAGTTCAAGCTGACTTAAATCTCTGCAGCCCCTGTCTCAGCTTCTCAAGTACTTGAAAGTACAGATGTGTGCCAACATACCTAGCTCTGAATATTATTCTTTGGGATGTAATTTTATCAAACTCTCAACTATTTGAGACATTTAATCCTAGAAAGGAAACTGAATATTTGAACAAATTTATTTTTAAAAAATGGTATGAAAAAGACACAAACTCACTTAGAAATTCTATGTTTGTCTGATGCTACCTACCTGAAAGTTCCCACGAGTCTGAAGATGATCTTTTTCTTGAGAGATGTCCATTTTCCTATGAGGAAAAGGAGAAGAAAATTAGAAATTTTGAGAAGTAAAGAATATGAACTTACACTTGAACAGACTTCTAGACAAAAAAAGCAAGCACTTATATTCAGAGGTAGCTTTTTTTTGTTGTTGTTTTTGTTTGTTTTTTTGTGACAGGGTTTCTCTGTGTAGCCCTGGTTGTCCTGGAACTCACTCTGTAGACCAGGCTGGCCTCGAACTCAGAAATCTGCCTGCCTCTGCCTTCCAAGTGCTGGGATTAAAGGCGTGCACCACCAGTGCCCAGAGGTAGCTTTAAAAAAACAAAAACAACAAACAAACAAACAAAACTATATTATAAAGATCTTAAAATGTTGGGCGGTGGTGGCACACGCCTTTAATCCCAGCACTTGGGAGGCAGAGGCAGTCGGATTTCTGAGTTTGAGGCCAGCCTGGTCTACAGAGTGAGTTCCAGGACAGCCAGGGCTACACAGAGAAACCCTGTCTCAAACAAAACTTAAAAAAAAAAAAAAAATCTTAAAATGAAGAGTATGGGGCTGGAAATATAACTCAGGGGTACAGTGCTTGTCTAGACACACAAGGCCCAAATGCAATACCTAGTATTAGGGAGACACACGGATACACACACACACAGACACACACACAGACACACACGCCCCCACATATACTCATGAGGTCATCTGTAACATAAAATAAATAGATAAATAAACAAATAAATAAATAAATAAAATCTCAAAATGAAGTCCCTGTTTCATAAGCTAACAGTGATTTATAACTCAAAAATTAATACAGTAGGGCTGGAGAAATGGCTCAGCGGTTAAGAGCACTGACTGCTCTTCCAGAGGTCCTGAGTTCAATTCCCAGCAACCACATGGTGGTTCACAACCATCTGTAATAGGATTTGATGCCCTCTTCTGGTGTGTCTACAGTGACAGTGTACTCTCTTAAACAAAATTAATACAATAGTAGAAGACTATTGGTATATGGACCAAATGTAACATCTATTATCAACAACCTCAGAATGTACAATTTTATTACAAACAGTCTTCTTGATTTACAAATACTTTTTTTTTTTTTTGGTTTTTTGAGACAGGGTTTCTCTGTAACAAATACTTTCTAGTAATATATAATGCTGAGATTTCTTTTTATTCATACCTAGAACATTATAGTTTGTTTTCCGTTTACCTGATTTGAAATTCTCACAGTAGCTTTACTAATATAGCACTTCTCTGCAGTGCTGAGGACTCAACCCAGGGCTTCTCACATGCTTGGCAAGCGCTCAACCAGTCACGTGCACTCCCAGCTTTGTGCTTTTTTTTTTTTTGAGACAGGATTAGGCTATGTAGGCTAGGATAGTCTGTAACACATAATCCTTTACCTTAGCCTCTCAAGCACTAGAATTCTAAGCATGTACTTTGTCATATCTGACCTTATTTGTTCTTTATGTAGATACAATTTGAAATTAATAACTTGACGTTCTAGGGAAGAAAAGCTTTAGTGCTAACTGATTCTGTATTCTCAAAAGAAAAATATGACAGGACTAAAAAACTGTGTGTAGTTTTCTAAGTCAATTATCTAAGATTTATACATGAGGCTGGAGAAATACTTCATCAATTAAGAGTTACTGTGCTCTTGTGGAGCTTAAGGCTGAGTTTTAGCACATACATGGTACAGCTCACAATCGCCTGTAACCCTACCTCCAGGGATCTGGCGGTTTCTTTTGGCCTCCACATATAGGTTCAAATAAAGTAAATAAATCAAAGATTTATATATAATCTGAAACAGTGGTTCTTGAACTTTTAGAGGGCCTTTTAACTGGAGGCCTTTTAACTGAAGACTGCTATGCTCTGACTCCACTGTTTCTTACTGGGACAGAGAGTGACAAATCCCCAAGGGTCACTGCTGCTACTGCCCTCAGGACATTAGAAGCACTGCTCTAAGTTGTTTCCTCTTCTTCTAGATTTACCACTCCTTTAAGTACTTCCTTTTGGCAAATCTTTAAAAATTTATATCGACTGCCTGAAAGAATGTTTCATTCTTTCCTAATGTTTCATTAGAAAAGATCTTTGTGGGACTAGAGAGATAGCTCAGAGGGTAAGAGCAATGGCTGCTCTTCCAGAGGACCTGGGTTAAATTCCCAGCACCCACATGACATTCACAAGTCTCTGTAATTCCAGTTTCAGGGAATCTGACATCTTCACATAGACATACATGCAGGCAAAACACCAATGCACATAAAAAAATGAAGAGGTATCATTAAAAAAAAATTGTTAAAAAAAAGGTCTTTGTTCCTGGTCTGTAAAAATTAAAGACTGAATCTAGCCGGACAGTGGTAGTGCAAGGCTTTAATCCCAGCACTCAGGAACAGAGGCAGGTGGAGCTCTGAGAGGTTAAGGCCAGTCTGGTCTATGAAGGGAGATCCAGGACAACAAGGGCTACACAGAGCAACCCTGTCTCGAAAAACCAAAATAAATAGATTAATTAAGTTAAAAAAATAATAATAAACTTACAGAATTCAATGAGGGGTAGAGATAACCTAATGATACCAGCACCAGCCCAAGTTGTGCACCCGTATTTCCTTAAATGTTATAGATCTGTATACACAGGTCTAAGCACAGTACAGCAGTAACAAAGCTACCTCAGTAATTATGGTACATACCAGATTTGAGAGATTACTCTTCCCAGGTACAGCCTCATTGTGTTTGCTGTGCTCATGCCTTGGCTTACATTTTTTCCCTACACCGGAGGACTTTAAGGAAAGGTTGCTTGTTTCTGAGAAAGAATTTTCTGAGTTGATTCTCTGCTCCATTTGTTCTTTTCTCAACTTCTTCTGTTCTCGCTCTCGGCAGTAGGAAGCTAATGACAACTGGAACCTAGCCCCCAATGGGCTTTCTCCTGGATGGTGCCTGGATAGGCTGCTTCTGCTACTAATACTTCTGGAGCTGTTCTTGAAGATGTCACCTTCTGTGGCCGGGGAATGTTTTCTGGAGTCTTCACTGTTCTTCCCTCGATCTCTGTCATTCTTCTCCCTGTTACTTTCATGAATGAACAGTGACTTTCTTTTCTCAGGAGACCGGTGTTTTTTCTTCCGTGCCTTGATCTCTTTAGGCAATCGATAAGAGGAAGGTGCATAGATGCCCGCTCCTTTGGGTAAATATTTGGTGCTTAGAGATATACAAGGCCGACGTGACTCATGGATACCACGATCTTTGTGGTGCTCTTTCCCACCTTTCATGAAAGCTTCTAAAATAGGACTTTCTTCAGATGACATTCTTTTGGGTTTAGTTTTTTTTGGTGAAGATAATTTCCTTTCAAATCGCTCTGTCCCAGTGATGGATAATCCATTTCCACTGTATTTGATATTTGATTTTTGAGGAGAATCCAACATATGTTTGTCTAAAACAGCCACAATTAAAACACATATTAATAACACATTATTAAAATAAACTGATGTGTCTATTATTATTTATATTAACTATTAACTTTTAACCATATTGAAGCTACTAAAAAACTCAGGCCAATTAATATGTGGTGATAAACTATGTTTTATGAAGTTTCATGAATCCCTTCTGCTACAACAACTAAGCTCCTATGGCTTTATTGTGAGCTACTTTACTAAAACACAAATAATATAAGTACCATAAGGTGGACTATTTTTTAATGTTAAGAATGTAGAAGAAATGATTTACTGTTTACCACATTTTCATTATAACAAGCATTTCTCAATTCTGAATAGTATAATCAAAAGTTTGGGGTCTCTTCACCTCTAAAACAACCCATCAAAAATACATTAACATGCATACCTTGTTTTGAAGCTGGCTTGAAGAAATCTATGATTGATTGCTTCCTGAAAATAAAAGCACAACTAATATGACATCAAAAACCCAAGTATTAAAACCTCAATATTTTACATTAAGTAGTGAATGTTAGACTTATATAATATGGGCTGAATTCCACTGTCTGATTTAACTAATCAAGTTTTGAAAATGTCATAGTTTGCTAAACCACAAGAAAAATTTAAAATGCAACCATTTTTTTTTGCTAAGTTTATAAACATAATTGAGACTTAAACAGAAATTTGATAAATAATAGAGATCATAGACCTTAACAGAGATTTGCCTCAGAACAGCAAATGGGAGAACAATTAGGCTGATCTGAAAAGGAACGTGCAAGGCAAAACCAGGAAGAATCATTCATGAATCCTACACTATAAGCATTATGTTTTATAAGATCCTAAACTAACAGCAAAAAAGTAGAATGAGCCACAACTTGTCTGTCTTCCTTCCTTCCTTCCTAAGATCTAAGATTCCTTAGATCTTAAGATTCCAGGAACAGTAGCACACACCTTTTAATTCCAGCACTCAGGAGACAAGGCAGGTCTATCTATGTGAATTTGAGACCAGTCTGCTCTATGGAGTGAACTCTAGGCCCAGTGAGGGCTACACAATGAGACCCTGTCTTGAAAAACAAACTAAAACAAACAAAACCTACAAAAACAAGCAAAGAGTTCAAGGGGCTGAAGAGATGGCTCAGTGGTTAAGAATACTCGTTGTTCTTGCAAAGTCAAGGTTCCCCAGCACCCACATGGCTATTCACAAATGACTACCTCCAGTTCCAGGGTTATGTGATGCCATCTGGTCTCCTCGCACCAGGCACACACATGGTGCAGATATACATGCAGCCAAACACTCAGTTACATAAGATAAAAATAAGTAAAATACTTAAAAAAAAAAACCAACTTCCTAAGATATTTTTACAAAAGCAGCAAACTACCTAAGTAAAATAAATAGAGAATTGGGCAGTTAACAAGTAAAACAAAAACCAAACAGCTTTAATAACATGTCTGGGTTACTGAACTCTAACATGGGCATACAATTATTACCAGAACCTATACTCTGATCTGTTCATGCACGTTGAGATGTCACATGTAGAAAAAAAATCAAGTAAATAACTTTTTCCTGAAATTTCATTTTGTTCAGAGAACATACAAGCAGCAGGCTCCCGTTGTCTCTAAACACTCCTCCACCGAGACAGTACTCAGTGGGCAGCCTGAGCAATCCAAACCCACAGCTCATCCCCTTCTCTATTGTACATTTTACTGGTCACTTTAGAAGAGCAATGATCTTTACTGTTTACCTAGACTCCACCAGTACGTTGGGAGAACCTAAATGATTATGAGAAATATGAGTGACAGGTTATAGGAGAATACATGCATTTGTTTATAGAAAGTAAATGACATTAGGTAAATTAACTCCACCACTGAGTAAGGAAGAAATGCTAGCCTGCAAAGGGAAGACAAATGATGTCCTATTACTGGTAGTGGAGAGGTGCAAAAGAACTCAGAAGCAGCAAATAAAAACCAAGATATACTTATATCTTTTTACTAAATAGTAACACCATATCCCTTCCCTAAAGTATTAAACCTAATACTACTCTTCAATATATCCGAAAGGAAAAAATGGCTTTAGGTAAACCATGAAACTATACATGAACTCTGTAGAGGTAAAAATAATTGTTTCTTAAGTTCAAGCACACAGAAATGTCCAATACTTATGTGTGACTGATTAAAAAAAAATTACAACAGCTTCACAAACCTTTATCTGAAAGTTCTGGAACCAAACGTGTTAGAATTTTCAACTTATTGGATTTCCAAGAGGAAATAACTTGAATGTATTATGTACAGCGCCCAGCAGGATCTGGTGCTTCAACCTGTAGTCAAAATACTAGTATTTCTCCAGCAAAGCTTATCAACACTTCCACTCAGTAGAATAAAGACCACCCACAACCTTATAGTAGCTCTGGTCAACCTGGCTTGGCTGCAAAGTAAACTGTGGAAGAAAACTTAATAAAAACGTTTGCTTTTCACAGCTTTCTGACTTTCAGAATTAAGATAAAGGATTGTGAGTCTGTGCTACAATATTAAAGCATAAATTTACTTTTAAACGTCTGTGACCACTTCTTAAAATTAAAAATAAAAAAAGACAGTACCAAGTTCATAGATAATTTGAATATGTTTTATTGTCAGAGGATGTCATTTGATGAAATTCTCCATCATTACATAGCTCCCAGAAAATCTTTACCATATAAAAAAAAAGAAAGAAAAAGGAAAAAGGAAAAGAAAGGTCTGTTGGTGAAGGAGAAAGTCACTCAAAGAGAAAACAGGCGCATTCCAAAAATGTTTTTAGTATGAATGGTCGTGTACACTGTACTATTAAATAATTCGTGGGTTTTCCTTATCACATCTTACATAATTAAACTCTGTAGAAACCACCAGGACCAGAACGATCTAAATAGAGGCTTCGAGAAGGGAGGGCCCCAGGGCAAGCGCTCGAAAAGGAGAAAAACAACCTTCTATCTAAAGCGGGCTCTCTGCAGCCATCTAGGCTGGTGGTCACTAGACCAAAAGCAACACCCCAACTACAGAAAAGGAGACTCCAACACCCAGAAGCCCCCGCGCGAAGGTGGGGCGAGGGCTTGCAGGCCCCAGAACATCAAGGCCTGAGCTCGCTGAGGATGGCGGGAACTGAAGAGCAGCCGTCCGCAGTCCTCCCTTATACCCGTGCCCCCGCGACCCGGCCCCTTCTCAAGCCCTCTGCACGGTACCTGTCCCCAGGACTCTCTGTTCTTTTTCCTGCTGCAGCAGGGGCGGTACTACCGGGTCTCAGATGGCAGCGCGGGGGCGACGACCCCGGGGCTGGGGATGAGGGGAAACCTGGCCTAGCGGGCATGCAGCGCCTTGTCATGTCGGCGCCGCTGGCGACGGCGGCATGAGCTGTGGCTGGAGAAGCTGGGTGCGTGGTTGCCGTCTTGCTGCTGGGACTCGGGGAGGCTGTCGGTGCAGAGGTGGGCGGCACCCCCTACTCTCTTCATGGCGGTTCTCTCTTCGGAAGTGACTCCGGTGTGAGCGGGAAGGAACCTGAGGACCATCAGGGGGCGGGCCTTACTTGAGGTGCCGCGTCTCGATTGGCTGACCTCGGGGTCACTCTGGTGGTAGCGCAATAGAAAGCCTCGGTCTGCCAGGAGAGGGCGGGTTTTTTGGAAGGGGGAGGGGAGAATGAAAACTGCCCTCCCCAGGCCCGTCACGTGCGCCTGGGGCGCGCGCCTCCTCGTCGGGGCCGCGGCGGCCTTGGCGGGTGCGTGGGAGTGGGAAAGAAGAGGCTGTGGCGGGTGCTACGACAGCTGGCGACACCCGCCTGATCGAGAGCTAGAGTTGAGGTTTGCAGAAGTAAACCCGAGCCTGCAGCTGTCTGCAGTGGAGATGGCCAACACTTGTCACGATTGTGCTATTGAAATACACAGCTGCGCTAGTATTACATAGTCACTTTAGCATCTTAGGCCAAAATGTCATAATACTGTCACCATTTCCTCTCTGTTCCTTCTCTTATAATGTAATTTAACTGTTCTGTGAGGGATCTTCTATACTGTGATATAGTTGTTCCATTTTTTTTTAAGGGAGGGGTTGGGGAGTACTCAGTCATTGAATTAGACATTTTTATTATGTAAAAGCGTTTTTATCTGTAATAGGTTTCCCATGAAGTCCCTGCAAATAGACTTCTTTTCCATATCTGTAAAGGACTTATGCTTTGAAGGCCGTTAGGTTGGGTTTCTTTCTTTAAATTTTTATTTATTTATGTATATGAGTGCTCAATTTGCATGAATGCCTGAATGACCAGAGAGCAGCAGATCCCCTTATATATGGTTGTGAACCACCATGAGGCTGCTGGGAATTGAACTCAGGATCTCTGGGAGGGCAACTAGTGACCTTAACCACTGAGCTATCTCTCCAGTCCTAGACTGGTTGATTTTTTTTTTTTTTTCAGACTGAGAAACTGGTCAGAGTAATTTAAAACCTGACTTCCCATGTGTATAGAATGGGTATAGTAATTACTCACTTCTCTGGGTAACTTTAAGTAATAAAACCCAGCAATGTAAACGGGTTTAGATTCTCTCATGTAATTGGTACAAATACAAGATTCTCTTTCCTTTGGTCTTCAGATTTCCTGCAGTAACAGGCTAGATGCTTTAGGGAAGGCCTGAGATCCTAGCACTTGGGAGACTGAGGTCAGGAGATGGAGGCTGTGGCTGTGCTGATAGTTCAGGATGTAAAGGAACTTGCTTTCATGTCCCTGGACCACATGGCAAAAGGAGAGAACTGATTCCCTTCAGTGAGATACCCTATGACTTCTATAAGCAGTCTATCAGCATATACACACATGAAATGACTGTAATAAAAGACATGTTTTTTAAAGAGGGAGAGAGAGAGCAAGAGAGAGAGAGAGAGAGGGAGAAAGAAATAGATATTGAGTCCAGCCTTGACTTTGTAGCAAGATTCTGTCTCAAAGGAACTAAAAAAAGAAAAAAAACTCCCAGAGACAAAAAAAAAAAAAAATACAAAAAACAAAACCCTATCAATCTCAAAAATGTTCAGGCTCTAACTGAGAGGAATGTTCCCTCAGTTGGTTAGAGCAAATTCCTAAATGACACACAAAAAAATTGAACAGGTCTTCCAAATTATTGTACTGAGATTGAATTGCTTCTGTTGCTAAGCACACTAGGCTGACCTGAAATTCACCTCTTTTCTGTTCCCTGGTATCCCTCAAGAGGAAGAATTAATGAGAATAAACTGACCAATAGGCTGGCAGGTAGAAAGTAAAGAGTAAACACAGGTCTCTCCAGAACATGAAGCTATATACTAGGTAGTAACAATGTAAGAAAAAAAAAAAAACCCAAATCAAGGGCATCTTGTAACTTAGAATTTACTGTATTACTTTTATGTATTATTCCTTACATTTAAAAATAACAGTAAGTGCCAAAAATTGGTTGAATAATGACATACATATGTTTATGCCTTTTAATGTGCATTGTTCCCTATCCCTTTGTTGATTTAGTACTTTGTGTTGGCTATTTCTACGCTAGGAACTCCCAAACAGCCCTATAACAGAGCACATCCACAAAACCTCTAATCTGATTCGTTCCATTCCATGCTCAGTGCATAAAAAGAGGAATGAAAGCATAAAAACATGTCGTGCATGATCAATTAGTCACCTTCCCTGCATCATAGTATCTGAGTCTCCGCCTCCCAAGTATCACTTTTAGGTCTCTGCTCCCTGCTGCCAAACAATAGTTTCCACATTTTCTTAATCTGATCAGCAGATTGTGGAGTGAAGTGAGGCAAGAAATCCCTTGATCAATAAATGGAGATGGAGTCATAATGAAAGCACAATTTTTAAACATCTCTTCTTAACTGGGAAGTAGTTACCTAAATCCTCAGTAAACATCAAGGCTTCTCTTTGTTCAAGCTGCACAGGAGAAACATACAGATTTGGGTTGCAGGCTGATATACAGTGAACATACAGATGGCTGGAGCCTGAGACTCTCCTTTCCTTCAAAGAGAGTTGAACCTCTTGCTTTGTGTTTAGACTCACGAGTTCACTTTAAATGTATACATATACACTATGCACAAACATTTGTACTCTTAACCTATATTCAGTACTTCACTGAGGCTGGAATTCTGGGTCTCATCCATGTGAGGCAAGCACACACCACTAAGCTATTCCTAGCTTCTTGAGAGCTTTTGTTTTTTACTTCCTCCTTTACTTTCTATCGTCCTGGAAATAGGTGGCCAGGAAACTTAAGACTGTAAAAGCTGCCAGACAGAGAAAAACTGAGGTACTGACAAGGGACATGATGATAAACAACGGCAGCAAGACTAGATGAGAGAGCTAAAAACAAGTCCCTAGGCAGTGCTGGAAGAAGAATTTGTAAAAAGCTAGTTTGGTGAGATTTCTGAGCATGGGAAAAGGAAGCAAAGTCCCGGGACCCAGGAGCGGCTTTTTAGAAATGATTTACTTTATATGTGGGTATTCTGCCCACATGTTTGTCTGTGCATCACTTGCAAGGCTGTGCTTAATAGAGGCCAGAAGGCAGCACTGCTTCCCCTAGAACTGGAGTTACAGACAGTTGTCAGCCACCATGTGGGTCCTGGGAATTGAACTCTGGAAGAACGGCCAGTGCTCTGAACCACACCTCTAGCCCTGCCCACCCAGTGGCTTCTGTACTCAGTGTATTTTGAGCTACAGCTCAGCCCACAGGAAGCCAGCAGGCTCTGATGTTGGCGAGAGGGAATGGGAGAGATACCTAGGGAAACACTGTTGCATGAACAATGGAACGAGTTGGCTAAGGACAGGCAGGCTCAGGGTGGGAGTTCTGAAAAGCTTACTGTAGAAGGGATGCCAGAGACCTCAAACAGGGCAAGTGATCTCTCATAGTACCTCAGGACTCAGGCATTAAGAGAATGGAGACTATCAGTACATAACAAAGACTTTCTAGGAAGCTGGAAACATGGGACACAACTTCTGGCTTTTACAAGAAAGGCATATTTTTGTGTTGATATTGCTCTACTTGGAAATTAACACCCAGACTCTCAGAGGGTACTCTAGGGCAGGTCAAGAGACAAAGGCCCATGTGCTGAAGAGTGGATGGGGGTAGGAGTGTGTGGAGGGTGGTCTGAGAGGTGGGATAAGGAACAGACTCACAGAAACAGGAAATAATTAACTTGAAAACCTGACAGAGGAAAAACAGACCACAGAAGGGTCTGGAGAAGGGAAGGTGAGCTCACCATGGCTCGAGACTCAGTCAAAAGAAAGAAAGAAAGAAAGAAAGGAAGGAAGGAAGAAAGAAAGAAAGGAAGAAAGAAAGAAAGAAAGAAAGAAAGAAAGAAAGGAAGGAAGGAAGGAAGGAAGGAAGGAAGGAAGGAAGAAAGAAAGAAAGAAAGGAAGGAAGGAAGGAAGGAAGAAAGCGAGAAACCACCTTTGCAAACAGATGTTGAACACAGCGGGGCTGAGCAAATGTGCTGGAAAAGCACCAGTTTAGCTTCAGGGGCTACCTGGGAGATGACAAATTTAATATAATGCCAAGCGATCTAAACTTCCTAGGAACTGAATAGCAAAACTGTAAAACCTGAAGCCAAGGACCCGTACTTTGTCTTATTCCACCAAGGAATGTTTCAAAACCCAGGTATCAGAAGCATACTTGTGATTTTTGACATGTCTAGCAGTTTCTGCCATCCTTGAATTCACTAGATAGCCCATCTTCTCCACAATCCTCCTGCCTTTACCTCTTTAGAATGAGGATTGTGCGTCATCACAGCTATTATGATTTTAACATGTAACATACACAGTACACACACACACACACACACACACACACAGACATTGTTCTATAGGCTTTTTTTTATTATACATATACCTATGTTTTTGTGTACACATTGAGGAGGGAGGAGAAGAGTCTCAGTTTCTACAATGCTAGTCTATTTGTCCATCAAAAAAATGTAAAAGAAATTTTGGGGAGTAATTGGTTTTAGAGACTGCAGCCTGCAGGCAGGCATTTCTCACACATGCCTAGAGAACCATTAGAGGATTTTGAAACTGAGCTATGAGTCACAGACTACAGTAAAACAATAAGGACTGCTGGAGGATGGGGGCATAGAGAATACTGATGCAGTGCACATGGCATATGAGCTCAGAACTGATTGCCTTTCCTGAAGAACTGAACGCTAACTTGCTGACAGAGAAATCCCTGTATATTTCACTGAATATACTGGGAGACACTGATTCTGTCTTCTCGTTATTTTCTGTTGGTGTGTCTTTTTTTTTCCTCCCTGTACTATACTTTTTTTTTTGTCCTGTTCTAGACAGAGGGGAGGCTGATGTAACTTGTCTTGGGTCTTCAATAATCTAGTGACTGCAAGAAAGATATGGGCGAGAAGGGAGAATGACAGGCAGAAAGAGCTCTTATAGCCCCTGTTCAGACCGTCTTTTATGAAGAACTTGACTCCCCTGGAGCCTTTGGGGATAAAAATTCGATCTCAGTCTTTTACAATTCAAGGCACTAACTGTGATGTGTGCGTGTGTGTGTGTTTAGATTTATTTGTATG